CCTACGTGTTTGTCATGGTGACAGTATCTTGCTTTATGTTAATACGTGAACAGATCTGATCTGATTGAGTTGTACGTGTTTGGATAGTACTACGGATAAAAAAAGAATCTATTTGTTAAACAGAATTGGACAGTGCTAAACATATTCAAGAAAAAAAAAGGCATTTAACAAAAGTGTCAGTTGTCATGTCTAATTTGCTGAAAATGTTATAAATTAATAAAATTTATTTTAATATTTTGGTTATATAACAATAAGAAATAGACAGATTAGAAAGCGGAATGCAAATCAATTTTCTCATTTGAGCGGAAAATCAAAAGAGAGAAGGCTATATAAAGTTTGGATATGGGTTGGAGTTTGCATGGGAGTGAAAAAGTTTATTTATTTATTTATTTTTTTTTTTTAGGGTACATTTGCAATAACAATATTTTGAAGAGAACTTACGTAATAATATTGGAGCATCTTCAATAGATTATTTAATAATGAAACGATCTCTATTTTAAAGTCAATAACTCTCTGTAATTAAATATATTTAAAATATTTCAGTTCTCAATGTTCCATATATCAACTCAATTAAATAGTATTTACAAAGAAAATTGAGAGAAATAATATAGAATAATGCTATTTGCAGTCATTTACTATCACAATCGCCCTAGGTGGCATACATATAAATGTTAATTATTTGATGTGTAAGGTAATAAGAAACTATCACATTAATGTATCAAATCACTAACCATCACATGTATGCCATATATGGCAACTATGATAATGAATGACTGTAAATAGCATTACTCAATAATATATTACCTATGTCCATAAAGATAGGTTTAGTTTTCTCTTTCGTTTGTCCCAAATTATAGACCATTTTTCTTATTGCAAGTATGAATATTTTCTAGTTTTTCTAATATGCGCTTATTTAATGTACATTGTTATCAACAAATATAAACTGATTATATTTAAATCATTATTTAATGTAGAAATATATTAGGGAAATGTAAGAAGAATTTATCTATATTAATTACATTTTCTTAATAGGTGTAAAAATAGAAACAAGCTTATCTTTATGGGATGAAAGTAGTAATAATTTTAAAGGAAGTTGATGAAAATAAAAGATAGTGAAAAATAATATAGAGACTTTGAGAATTGTTCAACTCGTAACTACCCCTATTGCCTCTTTTCTCTTGGTCTCTTTATCATTATTTCTCTTGTCAACTAAAGACGTCTGTGTGTGTGTGTGTGTGTGTGTGTGAGAGAGAGAGAGAGAGAGAGAGAGAGAGAGATTTTCCTTTTCATTTACCTACCCATCCAAATGATACCTAATTTTGTCATTTATGTTAGCTCTTCTTGTTAATTGTTAGTAATGTGAGTGTTATATGGCTACTATAGTTTCCTTTGGTTCCATCACATTTTAATTATTTTAAATGTTTTTTTATCTTTGTTTATTATTGCACTTAGTTCTTCAATTTTTTTGAGATTTATTTTATATACTAGGTGCAAGCAACGTGCAATGCACGTTTGCCTAGTTTATATTTAATCGTTTTGTTTACGCATTAATTTGTTATTAATAACGATGTAATTTTTTTGGTT